CCACATGAAAGGAACTAAGGCAAGAGCTCTGTAAGAACCTATAATGTGTCTGATAAGTGCCAGGGCAGGGCAGTGACTGCAGAGCTGCCCTGATTACACGTTCAGCAGGAACCAGGCTGAGACCCTAATCACAGGTGAGCTCTGGAACACACGCTTTCTCCCTGGAGACCTGCACAGTTGAGTGAGCCCAGCAGAGCTGAGCATCCTGGGGAGTTCATGAGCACTTTGCTGGCCAAGAGCCTCAGCAAGAGATGGCATGACTGAGCCAGAATCCCAGGATAGCTGACTTGATTCAAGAGGCCACCCCTCAGTGCTGTGCTGCTTTCTAAGTCCTTCTTCTATAGGAAACTCTTATTGAATAAGTTGTATATGAAGAAAAGCCATTCCATGCAGCCATCCCTTCTTGTTGTAAGCAAGGTGAGCTGATGTGGACATAAGAGCTTCTGAAATATCTGTAGAGTCCAGCAGAAAGCCCCTCCCCCTACCCTGTGGGAAATGGAGGTCTCATCCTCATCATTCCATCTCTATTTCAGAGCCTCAACTTCTTTCTTTCTTTCTTTCTCCTCGCCTCCCCTCTCCCCCTCCAACCTCTGGCATCCCCGCTGTTCAGCAAATTCCATACACATTTAGACATCAAGATTCACCTGGCGGTCAACCACCCAGCATTGAATCAGCCCAAGTCTTGGCTCTATTGATTAGCTGGTAACCTCGAGCCACTTAGTTCCCATCTCTGTGCCTCAGTGTCCTCATCTGTCAATTGGGAATAATAATGGTGCCCACTGCACAGCATTGTTGAGAGGTTCAAAGAAGGTGACAGGTGTGGAGAGAGCCTGACACTGTCGGCACACAGACCATTAGGCAAGTGTTAGCTGCTGTCATAGGTACCGTTGGTGGTGGTGGTGGGAGAATTCCCACCTTCCACCCCACAGTCGGTCTCTCCCTGCCTCAAACCCTTGGCTCTGCCCCAAACCCCATTTCTAAGTTTTATAGTGCTTTGCTCTTCTTCTTGTCATGTTTACATCAAAAATCACCCATCAGAGAGATAAAAGCAGGGGGGAGGCATTTTATTTCTGAAGTTGTTAATTTTACCCTAGACTTCCAAGAAAAGAATCATCCATCTGTCAGAAAAAGACAGAGAAGATAAAAGATCTTTAAAAGTAATTATTTAAGTGCCAACCAAGAGGAAATGAAAATGCATTTGGCTTGGTTATCGAGCTGAATTAGAGAATGGTGTTGTACCACCACTAATCTGCTTCATAGACGAGAAAAAAGGAGAAGATGATTTTTAAAAAACAAACGTGCTGTCAGTTGGCCCCAACAAAACACATTCTGTATAAACATATTTAGAGAAGTGACTTTGGATTTGCAAAATTGTAGCTCCCCTTCTGCCAGGGCCGCCTCCGGTCTCAGAGCCACAGATCTATACACACGGATGTTTCCCAGCTCCTACTACTGTTTGCATTTCTTTCCCTGGTGCTCTGATTAACTGCAGAGATAGTTTGTACAACCGGGCCATGAAATGCCACCCATTGGCCAGCCCTTTCCCCACCTTGTCCCCTTCCCTTCCAAGGCTTGCGTTCACCAGAAGACCACCCGCCCACTCACATTCTGGAAGGTGCCACCGCGGGAATCATGCAAAGATACACATCTTCATAAGAGCATAAAACAATTGGCTTTCTCTTCTGAGCTCTAAAACCCAAAGCACTTTTCAAAGTCACAATTCAATCAGAAGCAAACAAGGCATCCCCTTCTCTTCCTCAGGTTAATTGTAAAAGTTGCAAACTTAACCAATTTCTGTACTGACCATTCAAACCAAGAGATCAATCCTGTCAGTCCTCCAAGCAAAGAATTACAGGATTAATTTGTTCCTCAGCACTGCTAAGCCCCTCACATTTCCTGACACTAATCCTTCAACCGAGGTCCCTTCTCACTCCTAAGTTTCCCTCTACAGGTCGAAGCATCACTCACCTCACTCATGTTGGCTCTAACTCAACAGCTCAGTCCCGCAGCTCAGCACAGAGAACACTGCTCAGGGGTCGCTGCTCCACCGGTTCTGGCTTTTCTCTTAAAAAGAGCTGCCCGGTGGCATCATGCCTCCCTGGAGCCAATGAAATGCATTCACCTGTCTGCAAGCCCGGCCGGCATCTGAGAGCAGCAAGGGCCACCTAGTGGTGAAAAAGAGAACGGCACGTTCGGTCCCTGCTCCAAATTCCGCCAGGGATGGAAGGAATTGCTCGATTTCTTTAAAAAGTAATGCGCTCCAGCTGGGCAGCAGAGAGAGCCCCTGTCTCTTAAAAAAAAAAAAAAAGAAAAGAAAAAAGAAAAGAAAAGAAAAAGAAAAAAGTAAAAGCTAAAGTTTCAAAGATCATCACAGGGATGCCATTGTGCGTTTTTCAATGAGTGCAAGATTTACATGCATGAAAAATACTTTTCAAATGTCAGTGGGAAGGATTGTTTTTCTAAGGGAAAAGGAGTTCTGCAAACACCTGCAGACCCGCTCACGCACCTCCAGGCTTTCCCAGGAGTTGTGTTTCCCTTGCCCTTTATAACACAAAACTCAGCCCAAGGACTTTAATATCTCTGCTCTCTCACCCCCATCCCAAATCTGTGGCCCTGCTTGTACCCTGAGCTGGAAGGACAAGAGCAGATGGACTGGGATGTGGGGGTCGGTCCCCACGACTTCTACAAGGGAGGAGAGTGGCTCCAGCAGCCTTACTGATGTGCACTCCTCACAACCACATTGGGGCCAGGAAGGAGCCTGGGCATTGGCCCTGGCCTGGTTAAAGGTCTCCTTGCCTTAGCCTGGTTCAGCCTTTCCGGGAAGAGGTTCCATGCTTTGTTCAGTCCCAACATCGTGAGACTGAAGAGTCTTCAGGGCATCAGAGTGGGCCCTCAACTGTCCCAAAAAGGCATCGTGCCGACTGAAGGCACATTCACATCTGTTACTCTGCCAGTCCTGGTACCGGACTTAGCGGGTCTGGCGAGAAGACTGAAGCGTCGTGTGACCGGTCCCCAGCGCCCCTCATTTCCCTGTGCAGAGCAGACCACCAGACTCCCGCCCATCAATCCTCTCTCCTCAGCTCAGCAGCCCCACACCCTCCGACCTGGACTGCCCTCCCTACATGCCCAGTCACCGATGCGACCACATCCTCAGGTCCACCTTGGACAGCAAGCAGAAGGCCGTGCGCCCCCAAATGGGCACCGGCGAGCACAGACTGCCCTCAGAGGCCTTGGCCAGGAGCGCCAGCTGGTCAGCACCCTCATCCACACCGTGGGAACACCAGGCAGCAAGACAGACTCTACTGGGAACCAGTGTCCTTAACTTCCAGCCACTTCACATGGGGCCCCGTCTGTAGACAAGTCCTGCTCCAGTGGGAAGTTTGATACATGAGTTATTATAAAATAACACATATTTCACAGAGCAACATTTTATTTACATATATATATAAATACGTGTTATATTCTTTTACTTTGATATGTATATAAATTATTTATTTACATATTCTGACCTCACAAATCATTTGCAAACTAATAAAGGCAGCATCCTCCTTCTCCTCTCACTCCCCTTCTCCTACTTGCCCCCTCAATGCCATGCTTGGGAAGGCCCACATGGGATGCCTTCAGGGTTGCCCGGGTGGTTAGTAGTGGGAAAGGAGGAGAAGGAGGGCAGGGGTGAGGAACTGGAGTCATAGTGTCATCTGTGATGTATGACAGATCAACAGATTGGAAGAAGGGGGCTTGCTTATCTATACTAAAAGACACCTGTGATTTCTCAGGGGCAAAACTACACCCTCCCCAGGGCACTCCTGTCCTGTTGGGGGCTGGAGCCCCCACAGCCTGGAGGTGTAGAAGGGGCCTCCCAGTGGCAGCCTCCACAGGGTCCCTGCTGTGGTCCTCCAGGCCGTGCAGAGGGGACGTGGAGAATCAGCCTGTGCTCTGCTGGCTGGCTCTGGAGCAGACCTGCATTTTCTAACAACACAAAGACACATCAAGGGCTGCAGCAGCCTGGGCCTGGAGACACAGCAGTTAGTGCTGAGGCTCCAAGTAGAGGGGCAGGATTGGAGGTGCAGGGCTGGACCAAGGCTTTGCTGGGTAGACTCAGCAATTCTTTGGAAGCAGCCAAGGGACCAACAAGGCTACTGGGGAGAGGGTGGGTTATGGTCTGAGCTGATTGCCTTCCTCCAGAATTCATACATTCAAGTCCTAACCCTTAATATCTTAAAATGTGACCTTATTTGGAGATAAGGTCTTTAAAGAGGTGATTAAGTTAAAACAAGGTCACTAGGGTGGGCCCTAATCCAATAGGGCTGGTGTCCTTATAAGCAGAATAAATTAGGGCACAGGCACTCGCAGAGGGACAACCCTGTGAGGATACAGGGAGAAGACGGCATCTACAAGCCAAGGCGAGAGGTCTCAGAGGAACCAGCCCTGCCGCCCCTTGACCTCACACTTTCAGCCTCCAGAACTGCCAGGGGATACATTTCGGTTGTTTAAGCCATGCGGTCTTGGTACTGGGTTCTCGTAGCCACAGGAAACGAAGGAAATGAACACAGATGCCATCGCAAGCACGCGGAGAAATTTCAGGGAAAGGATAGAAGTACCTTAAGGGGGATTTTCTCAAGACTTGCCTTGTGGCATGCAATTTCATCCTATTTATTTCCCCAGAATATCTTTGGCAAAATAACTATCTCCTGTTAATGAGCTGTGGAGTTGTCCTGTTGTAGAGAACACAAAGTAAATGTTCAGTATTGCTACAAAGGGAGGGTCAAGCTGCCCTGGGAAATCGGTGCTCACCAGTGACACAAGACAGGTCTGAGTGTGCAACCCAGCAGGTCTCAAGTGCCAGCACGTTGGCTGCCAAGCGGCATCCCAGCCTGAACACACATTGCATCCTCTCCCACAGATGGGCCCTGGGATGACATCTCCTAGCCCCATTGATCCTCGGGGGACAGTATTACCCCAACAAGACCAGTTGTCAGATCAAGAACACCAAAGATTACCTGGACCTCTTCATAGCATATCCAGGGACAAGGACAGTCAATGAGCAATCTTTCAACCTTTTCCTGTGGTTCCGAGGAGCAGTCAGGTTTGAGAAGTGCTGCTTGACACAGTGACGCTCTCTCCCTTTCTATCTCCTTTTCAGGCCTGCTTGGCTGTGGTTTACTTTTACACATGTATGTCAATAGCTTCAATGTATCCCATCATTCAACTTTTCTCAGGTTAGCCAAACACTGTTAGGTGACCATTGGGGTTCTGAACCAGAAGCTTAAAATTTGGATCCTGGACGTGAGAAATCATTTTCTATATGACCTTGGCGATGTTGCTCCGTTGCTCAGTGTCTGATTTTCTCCACTGATAATATAGAAGTATTCAAGCCTTGTGTCTGCCAACCTAAGCAAAAACATACATGAAATAAATTGAGCTGGGAAATAAATTTTGAAGGAACTTCAGAAGAATTAGATTTACAGCTTCATATGTTAGATCTTGGGGAAAACTTCAGCCTGGCTGAATTAAAATACAGACATGTGGTTCTATAATTTATGGCAATATATATATATAAAAAGGACAGATTATTTTCATCTTCTTGGAAGCGTGATCCTGCCTGAAGGGGCAGAGTTGGCCCAAGTTGTCTTTGAGATTATTTATAGGGACACTATATATTAATGACCTAGGGCTTTTCATCAGACTTTCATACGAAATGCATCATTTGTGTATAGTTTCTGGGGGTGTGGGGACTTTGAAAATGAACCCAACTTCTGCTTCATTTCCTCACCTTTGCAGACATAGTGCTGTTTTAATGCAGCACAGACGAAGAAGGTGGTCATCTTCCTTGGAACGGACTCTGCACAGCCTGGCCTTGATGGCGAGGCTCCCCTCTTCTGCCTTCACTGCTTCCCAGCCCGATGCCAACTGTACACTCTGGGTGTCTACATGGGGAGCCTCAGCATCCCTGGCCTGATGGGCAAACCCAGGGGTTCCTGTCTTTGACTCCTCACCTTCTTCCCTGCTGCCCTGAGCTTGAATCTTCCAGCAGACTCTAGCCTGCTCCCAACCACTGGATGTGGTGTGGCCCTGAGCCTGGAGGCTATGCAGGTTCTATCCATAGATACAGACATACAGCTTAATTCTTTAAACCCCTCCTGGAAAGATGTACTTGCTGTAAGGATGCATGAATGTGTGTGCTTGTTTACTCAAGCCTTGTCTCCCACCTTCTGGGCTTTAAGCCTCTTGAGAGAGAGAGGCCAGGCCACACCACGCTGCTTATTTTTTCATTGCCATGCCTGGCATGATACCCAGCACGGAGTCGGCACCTGAAACCACTTCTGAATAAATAAATACCCCAGTGGTCACTAAGTGTGAATGTTGCTGTAGGAAAGAAAGCTCTTTTGTTCTGTGAAATTAAATTCTCTTTCCCATGCCAACAGGTAAGAATTTTCTCTTTTGAAAATGAGAAAAAAAAGGGTATTTTTAAAATCTGCTGTCAAATTTTAATCCAGTTTTCTAGAATGTTAAAAAAGCTTCCCGCAAAACACACCTGTTTTAAACCTAGATAATTGAGTTTTACTGCCTTTTTGAAGAAAAAATAATAATTAACAAATATTTGGCTATGGTCTTCCAGGATTTTAGCAACTAATATTGCACAAATATCATTCTGCCTCTACTTCATACCCCATCTCTTCTCCACACTACTGGTCACTCTTAATTAGCCACTCCATATAGTAGGTGTGTCTGTTTTATTATTTCTTGAAGTTATTGAAAACTTGGTATGCATGACTGGTATTTTCTTTCTCTCTCTTTCTCTCTCTCTCTCTCTCAACTTTACCCTCTATGTCTCCCTCTAATCTGAAATAATTTGTGTTTTATGCATGCAACCTTCCATCCCATCTTGACACTAGGTGAGGTGGCTCTTCCAAGAGGCACCAGCCAACAGGAGAGAAAGGAAGAATACGAGAGACAGACAGGGACAGGTAAAATCCACCTGTGATGCTCCCGTGGATCTCTGTCTCGTCACATCTTCTAATTCCAAGTGCTACAAACATAACTGAAGCCGCTGCTATTCTTAAGGCTTAAATTATTCCCTATGTATGGCTGAAAAGGTCATTTTATAACTCCTAGTTCCTTTCAGCTCAATTAAATGCCCAAGCCTGTCCTGCCGATGAGCACTGGCTGGCTGGCCTGCAGAGCCTGTGTGTCACCTCCGTGGCCCCTCTCTTTGATGAAAAGGTCAGTGGGTGTTTGTCTTCAAAGAGCCACTGCAGCTCTGAAGGCTGCACTGTGAGCTGGCTGAAAGGACTTCCCGATTCTCAGCAGCCTGACAGCTTTCAGAATTGGGCTTGGTTGAGTCCTTAATTATTTTCCCTGTCTCCACTCTCTACACAGGTGAACTCCTCCAATTCACTTTTCAGTGATTGTTCCCGAAATTTCAGATCTGTGATTCTTTCTGCAGAGCCAACCTGCTCCTCTAGAGCTATGGACCAGATCATGTCATTGCCAAATTCATATGCTGAAGGCCTGCCCCCAACACAACTGTATGTGGAGATAGGGCCTCTAATGAGGTTTAAGGTTCAATGAGGTATATAAGTGTTGGACCCTAATCTATTATGACTGGTGTCCTTATAAGAAGAAGAGATTGAGACACAGACATGCACGGGCGGGGGGGAGCGGCCCTGTGGAGACACAGGGAGAAAAAGCCAAGGGGAGAGACCTCAGAAGGAGCCAGCCCTGGTACCTTGACCTCAGATTTCCAGCCTCCAGAACTTTTAGAATGTAATTTTCTGTTGCTGACCCTCCCAGCTGTGGTATTCTTTTAAGGCATCCTGAATTGACTAAGACCTCTGGCCGAGAGCTAAGGTTGGTTTCTGTGCTGGACTCCACAGTGGACCACACCCCAATCCCCTGTCCTCTGGGGACTGAAGTGCTCATTGTCGCACCTGCTGAGAGTGTTGGTGATGGACCCAACTCTCAATTCTGAGTCCCTGAAAAGATTGCTCTCAGGCAAAGGGAGCTATGCAGGGGGCAGAACATATCCAAAAAAAAAGGCCTGGCCCCCTGGTCCCAATTTGGGACAACTCTGCAGAATCTTCCATTCCATCTCCAAAGCTTGCTGGAGGATCCACTAAGGCATTGCTCTGCCTCAGTCATGACCTGAATTCTCTCTCTGCCACATCCTGCCCCCATTCACTGCCACACAGCACCATTACAAGGCATGGCTCAGTATCACCTTGCATTCTCAGCTCCACCTTAGAGGCAGCTTCTGGGAGACTGACCTGACAGTCACATCAGGAGCAGCGGGAGGAAAGCAGACCTTGGCACAGGGTTTGGAGCTGGATCACCTGCCAGCCAGCTGAAAGTGGGGACCCTCAGTGCAGCGTGCAGGTGCAGCATAGAGCCCCACAGAAGTGCAGTATTGTGCAGGTGTTAGGGCACTCACCCTGGGGAAGTGGGGTGCTACACCTGTGGAAAGAATGCATGATGTGGGAACCATGAAGAGACTGAGTCAGACAGCCAAGAAATATGTGGGAAACAGTAGTTATAAAGACAATGAAATCAGATAGCTGATGCTGCGGAAATCAAGACTATAGACAGAAATAAAGCAAGGCTGGGGGTGATTCATTAGGACCTCAAGGCTAAGTATGAAACCCAGGTCCATTTTGGAAGCTCTGGTTTATTTTATAAAAGTAAGGAAGACTCTTATTTCCTATGGACTACAGGCAGAGGAGGTTGAAGAAAGCCCAAGGCTTATCATGAGCCTAGCAGAACCCCACACAAATCCAAATCCTCAGTGTCAGCAGGTGTGCTGGGCCAAGGTCTGATTGAAATAGAAATGGATCCTGAGTCACGGGTGGATGTGCTTGAAGATCTCAAATTCTCAGATCCCTCCGATGCCTCTGGGCTTGCAAGACTGGCCTTTTCCTCCCTGTCGAAGGCTAGTGCCCCTGGTGCTTGAAGATGATGCAGAGTCTCCGTCTGGTAGGATAATACACACCTATCCCAAGAGAATTTCCACCTTTCCTCATGCCCACCAAACTCATGACTAAGCTAGAATCACCCATAAGCTGGTGTGGAGGAGTGCTAAGCCTTATAGTGGAGGAAAGGGCTCTCCCCAAAGGACCTGTAGGACTTGGCCAACATGTACAAAGAATGTGTAGGAGACTGAATTTGAGCATCAGATCAAGGCAGGAAAGCACTAGCAGGAGCAGGAGCAGAAAATGAAGTTGGGCAAGAGAAAGCTCATTGATACAGGAAAACTATCTTATGATACAGGACTTAACACTTTAGGAAAGACCTCAGGAGATGATAACTAAAAGCTGCTAGGATGGCTTTTGGAACCTTGAAGAAGATGGTGCCCATACTGACTGAGGCCGAAATGCCAGACCCGCCATGGCAAAAAGTGGATGTGGGGACGAAGGGGCTAGAGTTGAGGGCACGCCACAGCGGATACACCATGCAAGTCTGAAAAAGTGCAATGAAGACATTGCCTTTACCAAAGCAACAAGGAACGTGCTAATGAGAGGGACCCCAAAAGTACTGAGTAGCATGGTGGTGTCCATCCTCTGCAGGACAGGGCTGGGCATCGGGGAAACCACTACAGAACCAGGCTCCCTGATAGCAACATGCATGGCAGGATCTAGAAATAATACAGGCTGGATGGCAACATACACCCATCAAAAGCACGGTGGGTGCAATAATCATAAAAGGGCAGGCAGCAGGTTGGCCTTACACCAAGCTATGCTAATAGATGTTAATAGAACACAGCACCCATACCAACAAGACAGAGGGCAGCCAACAAGTAAAGCCCTCAGTCTACCCTTGTGGTTCCCAAAGGAGGAGCAGGGCATTTCCTCTCCCCTCCCTGGGGAGACACTGGCAATGTCTGGAGACATTTTTGTTGTCACAGCTGGGGGAAATATTTTCAGTTATTACAATCTGAACTAGGAGGATGTAAATGATATCTAGTGTGTAGAGACCAGGGATGCTGCTAAATATCCTACTGATATGGTTTGGCTGTGTCCTCACCCAAATCTTATCTTAAATTGTAGTTCTCATAATTCCCACGTGTCATGGGAGGGACCCAGTGGGAGGTAGTTGAATCTTGGGAGCAGTTACCCCTATGCTGTTCTCATGATAGTGAGTGAGTTCTCATGAGATCGGATAGTTTTATAAGGGGTTTTCCCCGTTTGCTTGGCACTCATTCTCTCTCCTGCTGCCCTGTGAAGAGGTGCCGTCACCATGATTGTAAGTTTCCTGAGGACTCCCCAGCCATGCAGAACTGCGAATCAATTAAACCTCTTTTCTTTATAAAATACCCAGTCTTGGATATATT